TGGAGCAAGGATACATCTCTTTCAAAAGTGGCTATAAATTTTTAGGTTCACAGTTGAATTAATACAGTTATAGAATATTGAACTCAGTATAAACCCTGTAAGACATAAAATTGAATGAGTTTTTACCCTTTAAAGAGGATCTCCGTTTCATTTTAAAATATTCTGTTTCCTACATTTTTAATGCTACTAACACTTAGATGTTTGCACGTGTCTTTAATCGCTATGTGTCTGATCATTACTAGTCACAGTCGGTTACACTCGGATCTTTAGTACCTGAGTATGAAAGTCATCAGGTAGATTTCAATGGTAATGTTTATCACCTCTACTATTTAACATGAAGTAAATTTTTATGCTTCCTCCTCAAATATAGGTTTTTTTAAATTTGTTAATTTTTTTGTGTGTATATCATACAGAATATCCCACACAATGTTACTCATCTATATACCCACTTCCCAAATGGCACCCTCCCATAGCCCCCCCACACACACCAGAGCCCACATAATCTGTCATCCCTGTTACTGTCCACTGTGTTGTCGACACCCCCAGCCATTCCCCAGTGCTTGTCTGTCTGCTGAATCTACTCAGCCTATCTAGAGATCTTTGTTTTAGGAAGATCAGCTGTTCGTCATCTAGCAGCAGTCAATTGTCAATATTCCTTTAGATAAGATTGGGGTCTGCTTTTCATTTTCCCAGTTCTATGCTGGGTTACTGTCTGAGAGTCTTTTGGGCCACCCTGGCCAATAACTCAAAGGAGGGTCTTATGTAGTACAGGGTGACCTTGAACTCAATATGTAGGCAAGGGTGACCTTGAACTCCTGATCTCCCTACTTCCACTTCCAAGTGCTGGGATTATAGGTGCATGCTACTATACTTGGCTATGGCACTGTATTTTAAGCTTGCACTTATTCAGTGATTATTCAACAGATAATTTAGAGTGCCTGCTTTGGTCCAAGTCTTTGTTGGTTACCACCAATGAGCAAAACCAAAACAGTTGTTGCTAGCATAAATGTTGGTCTTAGGTTCCATTAGCAGTAATTATGGAGCTACAAGCTTGGCACGCTCTAAAATGCTTGTGTGGAGAGGTCCGAGTGGGAAGCCTATTGCCATAATGCTTTTTATGTTAACTAATATTCAGTGAAGAGCAAGTGGATGTGGAACTTGTACAACGTGGAGATGTCATTAAAGTGGTTCCAGGAGGCAAATTTCCAGTGGATGGCCGTGTTATTGAAGGACATTCTATGGTAGACGAGTCTCTCATCACAGGTATGTTCTGCCAGAGAGTCATGACCCGGAAGTGAAGTGAACCCAAAGTGATAATGAAAAACTGATACTAAAGGTAAAGAGCTTGTTTTGTTTTTTGAGACAGAGTCTTACTATGTAGCCCTGACTGGCCTAGAACTCACTGTGTAAACCAGGCTGGCCTTGAACTCACCTTGATTTACCTACTGAGTGCTGGGATTAAAGATGTGTGCCACCACACCTGACTTTGAAGAGCTTTTTGAGGAAACAATGAGTGTGTAAATTATGCACAGCGAATCTGGGCTCTTTAAAGGCTAGCTTAAAACAGTTTCCTCAGATTTACTTTGTGTTTTTAGGTATGCTATTGAAGACTTAACATTAAAGATTCTTAATTATAGAATGCATAAGAGAGGAAGTTATTTAGTGTCCTGTGGAACTGGGTGGACTTTGGCAAGTTTCTGCTCTGTGGAACAGATTCCAAGTAGCACCTCTCCACCCTCTACTGTCAGAGGCTCAGTTCATGAACTATATGGAAGTAATTCAGGGCTCTTTGTTTCTCAGTAGCAGTGCTATTGCCAGTTTGGATGGAAAAGTTTTTAGTTCTAAGAGGCTGTCTTATGTACTATTTTACAGTTTACTGGCGCTGACCCTGGCCTACTAAGCTGTAGTAGCAGCACCTTACTCCCAGTCATTATTACAAAGAAAAACTCTTTCCTACATTTTGAAATGCTCTTTGAGAATCACTGATCTAGGACTAGAGGGATACTCCCAAAGTAGCTGTCAACAAGAGCCTAATGTGTTAAGTTTTTCCATTTGAAAAGTGTAATCCCTGGGCCAGGCCTAGAACTGAGGTGAGGAAAAAGGATTCTAGTTGATGAAGAGTCTCTTTCCTAAGTATTTGTTGACAATGAACAAATAAACATGTTTCAAGAAAGAACAAAAGAACGTAATCATTTTTTATTCTTTTTCTTTCTTCAGGGGAGGCAATGCCTGTGGCTAAAAAACCTGGCAGCACAGTGATCGCAGGTTCCATTAACCAGAATGGATCACTGCTCATCCGGGCAACCCATGTTGGAGCAGATACAACCCTTTCTCAAATTGTCAAACTTGTGGAGGAGGCACAAACATCAAAGGTAACCTTCCCCCCTGGACAAGAAAAGGCATTTTCTTTAAAGCCTTCTCAGTATAAATCTTGATCCAGCTTTTATATTTCCCTTTGATTAATTTTAGCCTCATTATTATAGAGTTTACTAAAACATTTCTATCTATTTGCCAGGTATACTCTATATTCAATATCAGAAAAGGAGATGAGATATTTATTATTGTCTCTCTGAATTCTAGGCTCCTATCCAGCAGTTTGCAGACAAACTCAGTGGCTACTTTGTTCCTTTTATTGTCTTTGTTTCTGTTGGTACCCTCCTGGTGTGGATCATAATTGGATTTCAAAATTTTGAAATTGTGGAAGCCTACTTTCCTGTAAGTGACTTATAACAACTCTTGATTATGTACAAAAAGTTTGTGATTTTTTGTAGAAGTAATTAAGTAAAAATAACTTTGTACAGGTATGGTTGTATATGCCCTTAGTGCTCCGGAGGCAGAGACAGGCAGATCTCTGTGAGTTAGAGGTCAGCTGCTCTACATAGTGAGTTCTAGGCTGGCCTGGTCTACACAGCAAGTTCTAGGCCAGCCAGTGCTACATAGTGATACCTTGTCTAGAAAAAAAGAATACCTTGACAATTATCAATATAGGCTGGGGATGTAGCTTAGAGGTAGAATGCTTGCCCAGCATATTTTAGGACCTGAGTTTATCCCCACCACCAAAATAGAAGAGGGAGGGAAGGATAGAAAGAAGGAAAAAGAAATGAAGAAGAGAATTAAAAAGACAGAAATAAAGAAAAATTCTTTGTACAGTGCAGAACATATTATAAGAGCCTCAGTGGATGTCTGAAACTACAGATAGTGCCTCATACTATATGTGCCATGTTTTGCCTCGATACAGACATAAATAACACAGATTCAATGCCTTTTCCATCTTAACTCAGCACTGTTATGCACTGTGGCTATAATCTCTGCAGTTTTTAGGTACGACAGCAAAATCAGCACAATTTTCTTTTCATCCTTCACATTTTCATGGATAGATTTGTTTTTATTGTAGATCTTAGTAAGCTCAGCAAATGATTTTTTTTCTTTCCTTATTATCAAGAACCACCATCACACTCTGGCATGAATTTTCACAAAGGACTACAGATCTCTTGAGGAAAACTTCAGGATCTTGGCTCTTGCCATTGAGCTACAGTGTAGCATTTGATGACATAATTGCTCTGAGTTTCAGTTTTTCTTGTCTGTAAAGTGACATTTTAATATTACTCATTTTCATAGCTTGTAGTTGTTGCAAAAGCTGAATAAGAGTACATTTTTGTGTGTATGAGAGTGTCACATATGTAGGTCTCATGGAGGTGAACTTGCCATATAGAGGATGACTTTGAATTCTGGGTCCTCCTGTGTCCACTTCCCAAGTGCTGGGATTATAGGCATGCACTACCACACCCAACTAAAATAATGTATTTTAATTATTAAAGAAATACTTTGTAATTAATTAAATGTTTTATAAATGCATAATATTAGTGCTTACTCATCCAGTTCTCTGATGCTTTCTATAAAGTATGGCACTATAAAATAGTAAAATAAATCTTGCTATCCTTACTATAGGTATATAAACCTTAACTTATTGTCGGTACAGAAGTAGGGATAATAATACCTAAGTTATAGGCTATGAATTTGCATAGGGGACAGTGTACAGCATATGTGAAGGCATATTCCTATATGCAGTAGGTATGCAAGTCTAAGTCTAGATATTTATGAAAATCGCTTCTGCCTTGTTTTCTGTTTTTTAAAAAATTGATTTTATTGTGTGTGTGTATCTATGATATGTGTATGTGAGTACAGATGCATGTGAGCCACATGTGTGCGGAGGTCAGAGGATAACTGAAGAATCAGTTTGCTCCTTTTAGTGTGGGTTCTGGGAGTCAAACTCAGGTTGTCAGGCTTGCACAGTAGAGAATTTTCTACCCACTGAGCCATCTTACTGGCCCCACCTTTGTTTCTCTTATAGATTTGTAATTCTAAGATGAATGTTTTTATTTTTAATTTTTTTATTTTATGTGTAAGTGTGTATTGCCTGCATGTAGGTAAGTGCACCCATGTCGTGCAATGCCTGCGGAGGTCAGACAAGGCTGTTGGATCGCCTGGAACTGGAGTTACGGGCAGTTGTTAGCTGCCGTGTGGGTGCTGGTATTCAAACTCAGGTCTTCTGCAAGAACAACCAGTGTTCTTAACTGCTGAGCCATCTCTCCAGCCCCGAATGTTTAAGTTTTTGAGCTCTTAAAACCTATCACTATAAATCAGTTATTAAGAAAGTCTTGGGCTGGAGAGATGACTGCAGATTAGAGCACTGACTGCTCTTGCAGAGGACCTGGGTTCTGTTCTCAGCACCTACACGCCAGCTAACAACTGTGTGTAACTCCAGCACCAGGGAATCCGATACCCTCTTCTGCTCTTTTGGTCTGAGGGCATTGCACTTTACACTCATGTACATGCAGGGAAAACACTTATATACATAAAAATAAATAAATTTTATAAAATGTAAAAAGTCTTACACTGATTTCCTGTTTCGTAAATGCCATGCTGTATGCACTGGTTACACTGTTCTTTCAGTTAATGAGCAAGTAGAATCATAACAACTTTGTACCTTCCATGTTATGGTCAGTAGTGCAATATGAAGTATTCCTTGAATGATTGGTGCTAAGTACACAATTAGCAATAGGATTGTTGGAAAGTATTTTCATACCTGTATCCTTCAGGAAAATTTCTCATGAGTTCAGTGGTATTAGAGATTTTTATTTGAACTGCCCCATGAGCAGACAGTGCCACTAGGAGCTTAACTAGCAGAAATGCTTAGTTCCCGTTGTGATAGCCAAAAGAAATGCTGACTTTTTTTATCATCTTTAAAAAAAATGTGTGAATGAGAGGTTTATGGCCTTAATATACAGAGATTCAGAATTATGTTTGTTCAGGATCAAATTTATTGAGAATTATCTCATGTTATTACTCAAATTTCCTAACATTTCTTTTAGATGTGGAAAAGTAGTGGAATTATGTATTGGATATTTTTGGGGTCTTTTTAAGACAAGGTCTTCCTGTCTTCCAGCTGGCCTGGAACTTGCTATGTAGACCAGATTGGCTTTGAGCTTGCAGAGGTCTGCCTATTCCTGTTTCACTTGTTTACCAGTTCTGTTCTCAATTTCTTATATTTATAAATGAAAAAAAAAATGTTCCCGCCAGACGTGGTGGTGCACACCTGGCAGAGTCAGGTGGATCTCTGTGAGTTCGAGGCCAACCTGGTCTACATAGCGAATTCCAGGATAATTGGGGCTACAGGGAGACCCTGTCTCAAAAGACCAAAAAAAAAAAAAGGAAAAAAATGTTCCCTATTAGTAACAAAAACATATATTGGTAATTAGGTAGGAGATGTGACTTTGACACTGTGGTTTTATTTAAACAGGGAGGGGTAAGCTTTGTTTCTTTTGTTTTGTACATATCTAACTCTAAATAAATAACCAGAATATGTACCTTTCTTCTCAAGGGCTACAGTAGAAGTATCTCCCGGACGGAAACCATAATCCGCTTTGCTTTCCAAGCCTCTATCACAGTTCTGTGTATTGCATGTCCCTGTTCACTGGGACTGGCCACACCAACTGCTGTGATGGTGGGCACAGGAGTAGGTGCCCAGAATGGAATACTTATCAAAGGTGGAGAGCCACTGGAGATGGCTCATAAGGTAAGAGTCTCCAGAAGTAAGAATTGCACTGTCCACAGTTTCAATAGCACCCCTATTGAGAAATAAGTTCCTTAGTTATTTGCCCATGGTTCCTAAACTGAGTGTCTTCTGGGATTATCCTGGGGGTTGAAGTAGGAAAGTTATATGTTGATTCTTTTCCAGATTTGCCTTAGTTACTTAAGATCTCTTATATAGTCCAAGCCAATTTCCTTAGAGCAGACCCTGAATAGAGAACATGTAATTAAGCCCATCTTAGCTCACACCAGTCCTTAGATCAAGAAGACAGAGTAGATGCTTGCCTGGGAAAAATTTGCCAGAGCCTCCACTTATCTTCTTCAGTGGGAGGAGCACCTGCAGTGACAGTGCCTTTGCTGCCACCAGCTGGCAGTTTGCAACTATGACTTCAGGAATCATAATCCCATTCATGTTAAGGTTTCTTTTTTTTTCTTTTCTTTTTTTTTTTTTCTGATCTTTTGGAGACAGGGTCTCCCTGTAGCCCCAGCTGTCCTAGAACTTGGTATGTAGACCAGGCTGGCCTTGAACTCACGGAGATCTTCCTGCCTCTGCCTCCCAAGTGCTGGGATTAAAGTCATGTGGCACCATGCCTGGCATTCATGTTAGGGTTTCTGTGACAAACTCAGTTAAAGCTATTTGACATCAACTAAAGCCATGTTCCCACTAACATAGTCTTATTATGAGGATATAAAATAAATACAGATGCATATAGTAGACATAACACATGGCCTAGAACAAATCTGCAATCTTGTCTAGCCAGCAATTTTTAAGGTTCATTTAATTTTCATTAATATTTTTGTATGTGTGTGTGCATGCATGCTTGTGTGTGTGTGTTTACATGTGGGTGCAGGTGCCCATGGATCCTAGAAGAGGGTGTTTGATATCCTGAAACTGGAGTTATAGGCTGTAGTGAGCTGCCTTATGTGGGTGCTGGGAATCAAACTAGGGTTCTCTGCAAAAGCAATATGTGCTCTACCTCTGAGCCACCTCTCCAGCCCCCAGACTAAGAATTTTTATAGAAAAATTTTTTAGTATAATTCCAGTTTCTGCAGCTGTTAATCATCTTTTCTAAGAATAAGGACATTCCCTTATTCAACCACAGTATATTTATCATAATCAAGCAATTAATATTGATATAGTACTGGTATCTAATCTGTAAGTTTCTGTTCTGGTTCCTCTGTTGTATCTAGGATGTACCTTATGGCAATTTCTCTCTTGTCTGAAATGATGTTTTGAATGTTATTCTTTTTTTAGATATAGTAAGTTTTATTCATCTGATAGTACTTGATGCTCACAGGGCACCATACAACAAATTTAAAAAATACAATATGAAAAAAAAATCAAACAGCCAAAGAGATTAATACCATCAGAGGGCAATGGCCCACAGAAAAAAACCCATCCTCTGTCCCCTTAAGAACATTAATTTCTTCCTGCCTAAATTTGGCTTTAAGAAACATTGAAACGAAATGCTAAAGAAAAGGTCTTTGAGAAGAGTTAAAATTTCACATAGCATCTTCACAAAAATTTTCACAAAATGCTTTTCTTATTCAATAAGCATATTAAATAACATCAGTGAGCCTCTATTTGTTCCCAGTCTTTGAGGTCCCAGCCTTCAGTACTTTTTTCCTTCTCCAGCCCGAAATTATTTCCATCAGCAAAATATCATGCTTAAAGAGTAGTGCTGTCTTTTTTTGTTTGTTTGTCTTTTTGAGACAGGGTCTCCCTGTAGTCCCAGCTAACCTGAACTCACTATGTAGACCAGGCTTGCCTTAAACTCACAAAGATCCGCCTGCCTCTGCCTCCCAAGTGCTGGAGCACTGTCTTTTTTGATCCACATTTCTATTGCAAAGCTTGTTTGCCATAAATAGCAAAGGAACAAACAAACTTAAGCTACTTGAACTAAAAATACAATTAAATATTCCCGAGTGAGTTAAAAAAAATCAAATTTTGACTTTGAGAACCAATTGTATTAAATTCTCAAGATTAATAATTATGCAAGGTCATTTGAAATCAACTATAAAAAACAGAAATATTTAAAGGTGGGTTTGGGAATTTGTGTTTGACTCTGTTACATAATGATACACTTTGTCAAGAAGTCAGACCACACACAGTGAACAGTAAGTTGTTACAAATCCTGCCCGAGAACATTTAATGCTCAGTATTAATTTTATAAAAGCCAAATACAAACCATTTCTCACTAAGCCTCCAGAGACAGAGACCTGGATATTAACAGTGGGAAGCACAAACTTCCTAATTCCCACAGAAGTTCTGGAGTCATGTGCTAGCAACACTGACTGCAGAATTTCTTTCCCTTTAGAATTCACAAAAGAACTAATAGAGGGAGACAAAGCAAAATAGCGATAGAAAAAGTCTAAAACAAACTTGGGGCGTAAAATGAGAAAAAAACAGAACATACTTAAATACTTTCCAGCAAACAATAAGTTGTGCCTTAATGATTAGTTCCTCCAGAGCTAAGGCATTTTGGCTCATGTTGCACACTTAGATCAGTGTATTATCTAATTGCTAGGTACAAACTAAGCAAATCGAGACATTTTAGCTTCTGTCACTGTGCAGCATCATAGTACATAAGGTCTCTGGAACAAGATGTGTCTCCCCCTTTCCATTATACCTGTTTCAAAGGGCAAAGGCCAGGTCACAGGCCCCTTTGCAGACCCTGCATCTAATAACAGTGACTAGGCATACAAATGACTGAATTAACTGATTAGTAGCTAACTACAAAAAGCCAGATTGTCTTACTACCTTAGCATTTCTTAGCCTCATTCCCAACAGGAAGAAAACAGTTTTGAAGGAAAGATAGCTTTCCCACTTTCAAAATACAGACCATCAAGAGCTAGACATGACTTAAAAGACTTTCTTTATGCATGTTCATAAAGCATTTTGAGAAGTCAAGCGGTGAAAGGTGCTATGTATGTACAAAGTAATATTCAAGACAGTTCAGCCAGGTGCTGTTTTCTATGGTTTGGAATGGTTATGCTAGATGAGGGAACACTCTCAAAGATACTCTTCTCGTTATCAACAGAACAACGGAATTTTGACAGAGGCCATCACTTTATATAGTTTGTATTCTGCTATGTTCCATAATAAACCAGGTAACAGAAAAATGAAACTAAGCCACTTATTCTACACAAACCAATACTTTATCAGAGTTCTGCATTTTACAAGTCATGTTCAAAACACACACACAAATTAGCATTTTGTACACAAATGTTTATTTCTCAAACATTCCCTTTAAACACAAGGAATGAATTCTAAATCTTCATAAAGATGAATTAAAAATGAAATCCCTCCAGTGTAGTGTAATCACTGTGTCCTTGGTCACTACTGGCATTTACTGCTTAACATCAAAAACAAAAGTTATTTAAAAGTCATGCTACTGGATTTCTACTCTTCCTCTATGACCAGCTCTGCACTGATCTGCTATGTTTTAAATTTATATCACCAAAGTGAAGCAAGTTTAAGTTGTGAAACAGCTGTGTATTAGACACAAAATAAAATTACAAGATATAATCAAGTTCATAACGAATATAGGTGTTCTTATCATCATTGTAGATTCTTGGGTAATGTGCTATGAGAGCATCCTGTGAGCCAATGTAGATGGAGTTGTAAATTTTCCAATATACATCTCTGACTTTATGAGCTGGGTGAAACAGACCCTGTAAGCATTACTGCAACATTCTACATGGTCCAATAGCTACTCTCAGGCCCTGTAGGGCTCCCATAACTGCCTGGATTACATAGGAAGATGTCTCAAACACATTGAGCCACACAGTTCAATAAGTGATTCAGAGAATCTTCACAACCAAATCCATAAACACCAAGTGACATGTGTTGTACCACCACACTAGCTGCTTGTCTGTGTACAAGGTCCCTATCCATTAAAGCATCTTCAAGTAAGGGCGTTACAGCATTAATGTAGTCTTTTCCCATTTCACCAATATATTCAAACAAGAAGGAGAGAGATTTTAATACTCCATTTTGAACATTAAGTTCAGAAACTCTGTATTCATTCATTAAGGCAGGGAGTACTGTGAAGGGTGAACATGTTTCAGCAACAATAGCTATTGTTACAGTGGTACAAACTCTGTTCTGCCTCTCCTGAACTTTGACGTTGTTTAAAAGCGTAGCCAATACATCACGAGGGCCAATGGCCTTTGCAATGTAACCAAATGTATTGACTGTAGCTCTATGAATAGCTTTTGTGAGCTTTTAAGAGCTCTAAAAGCTCAAAGCAAATCCTCATCTACTCTCTTGTAGATACATACTCATCTCCCCTGTCAGCGATACGTCTAACAAGATCAATACAATTCTCTTGTACTTTTTCATGCCTGTTCTTTAAGATGGGGGTGAGTCTAGGCAGGAGATCTTTAATTGGTGGGCTCATCTTATGCATACCTATTACATTTACAATAGCCTTCAGTGCTCCAAGAATGTTGCCCAATACTTCAGGATACTCTTCACCCAAATATTCATACAACACCACACCCAAGTGCCCCATCAGTTTTTCCTCTTGACAAGTCTTAATCACAAGAGCAGTTCGAGAAAATCAAGTCAGCTACTTGTTTTCTGTCTTTTTCTGATTTGTTATTTAAACGCCACAAAACTGTACCACAGATCCGAGGCAAGTATGGTTTGACTCGTTTGCCAAGAGCATTGACTACTGTGCCAAAGCCATTCAACATTACTGAATCCTCTGTAGTCTGTTCTTGGAAAGCATAGAGGATACCATCAATCAGTTGTTCTTCAAGTTTATGATCAATATCTGCTGCTCCAAGGTTGCCCATAATTTTCTTAATTGTTTCCATCACGATTTTCCGGTACTGTTCAGCTTCATCTTTCAGATCATCTACAATCCTAGATATAATTTCTGCTGCACCTACTTTGTTTGCCAACTCCACAGTAGTATCAACTAACTGTAATTTCTTCTATCCAAAGCCATTTTGTGCTGCCAGAAGTGTTTAAAGAAAGGAGGAAGAATCTCTGTTTTAATATAATTTGCTTCTACACCATCTGTACTACAACATTGTTTTACCAACTTCTTCATCAGGAGACTGGAGTTCTCGAATAAGGATTAACATCACTTCTCTAGTATAGTAGTTGGCACATTCTGCATCCATAAGAGGAATAAGATACCCAATAGCCTTTAAGAAAGCAGCCAAACCCTTTCCTCTGTGCTGGCAGATACCCTTCCATAAAGGTTTGAGTACAGAGTCAAAAGATTCGATACCATAAGGAGTTGCTGCTTCAGCCAAGGCGCAATGGCCAAAGCACTGATGGTCCGAACTTTCTGTTGCTCATCCATGAGACCACGTTCAATGACTTCAACTAAACTTCTGAGATGTGGCAAGATGGCACGGCCCATAAGAATAGCTATCTGCTGTACAATCTTAATACCAGTGTGTCTCACTTGCCAAGGCTTCTTGCTTTTGCACACAGCTTTTAAGAATGGCAATAAAGAAGGAATGCCCAGGGCAGAGGCTACAACAGCAAAAGCTCTAGCTGTTGTGTTTCAGACATACTCATCCATGTTATCTATATCAGGTCTCATGGTAGAAATCATGGTAGCCAGACCAGCAGCCTTTGCCAAATTAGAAATAATCTCTCGACCTTCCACTCTAGCATAGTAATTTTCATCAATCAAAAGTGGCTCGATGACCACAAGAATCTTGTGCACATATGGTCGTACTAAGTCATCAAGTTTTATAATATTCTATCAGTAACTGTCACAAGGAAATGATGCTCTTGATCCTCAAGTGTAGGAGACATCAACAGAGGAAGAATCTGATTAAACAAAGGTCCAGCTCCAAATTCTCAGGCTTTATCAGTAATCTGATGTTATGCAGCCTTCCTCATTGGAGGTGTACCATTCTTAATTTTTAAAAGCAATTTCATTATTTTTCTCTCTTTTTGCTCTTCTGAACTAAATGTTGATTCATCAACATCAACCAACAGTTTATCAAAGTATTGAATGTCATCAGGTTTTAAAAATGGGAGATTTCCAGATGGCTGATCATTAACACTTTTCATAGTTCTATCTTCAGTTTGCATGTGGAAACCAGTCATACCACCCAAAGGTGTGGGAATTACTGTCAGCTTTCGAGCTGGAGTTTGAATAGGAACATAACCAGCTGGAGGAGGGAGCACCTTAAATCCTTCTGGGAACATAGCATCTAATTCTTCATCAGAAAGTGGGTGGTTTTGCTCATCAATCTCTCTCTCCCATCGCCAAGCCTGAAGCCGTTCAGGAGTCATGCTCATTATGTGACCTGGTGTAGGAGTAGCCATGTTCATAGCTGGTGTGCCAATTGGTGTTTTTCCAGGGGTCAGAACAGGAGTGCTTCCACCCATCTGACTTGCGCGTGTTTCATCCCAACACTTTTGTTTAGTTGTTCCAGGAGTTGGTGTTTCACCAATTCAGTCTCCACCTCTATCTGTTCGAGGAGTCTCAGCCCATCCACTTTCATGCCCTGGAGTATCTCTCTCTATTTTGGGGGTCTCATCCCATCTGTTTTTACGAGCACTGGAAGTAGTACCCCCATGGCCAGGGGTCGCATGGCCTGGTGTGTTGCCTCGTCCAGGAGTAGCAGCTCCCACAGGTATATGACTAGGTGTAGGATCCCATATTTTTGAGCCTGGGGTTGCTCCAGGAGTCTCACTTCCTTTTGCATGACCGGGTGTCTCATCCCATCTTAAAGAAGGGGTTGTGTCCAGGGGGTCTCTGCTTGGTCCCAATTTGATAGCTTTTTGGGAGTGGCACCTGGAGTCTGGTCAGTGGTTTGATCCCAATGTCGTTTTCATTTTGAGGGAGTCTGGGATGTTGCTGCTCTATTGACGACTTTTAGTTCTCCAGCTTTAGCCTAATTTCTCTCTCTTCTTTAGTCAAATGTTGCTCTCTTATAACATCCATGTAAGTTCTAGCATTCATTTTAGGATTAGGGGTCTTCCCTCCATCTGCAAAAGGATCAAGACGCTCTGGGGAAATTATCATGGTCTGCCCATGCTTTTTATATTCATCTTCCCGGTCTGCAATTTTGGAGGACGGTCTTCAGCAAATGGATCATACTGTTCTGTTGACTGTGGTGTATCATTGAGCAATGCCACAGGGGCATGATACCCAGGCTTCTTCTGACCAAGCAAACTTGTAGATGATGAGTAGTCATCATCATCATCTTGAAGTTCAGTTGCAGCTATTGATGTCACATATCCAGCAAATCTGCTGTCACTTCCACCATAAATTTCTTGATCATAATAACCTGTGGAATCAAGGCCCACTCCTTGGGCTTCATCAAGAGCTGCCTTCTTGCCTTGAATTTCTCGGATCTGTGCTTCAATATCTTCATGAGTCTTGGCGATCTTCACCATTTTGTCTACTCGAACACACAGACGGAACTGGTGCTCGTTATTCTTTTTTATATCAGTTCGTTGGGTTACTAATTTTTTAAGATTCTTCTGAGTTTATGAAGTTAATGTGCTGTCTAACTCCAGGCTCTTCCTTTTCCTATGTGGCCTAACTTTCTCAAACTGGTTCCCTGAGCTCTTGTCAGACCAAGTTCTTAGCCAACACCCAGCCAAGGCAAAGCAACCCAGCTGGCAACTCCCTTTGACTCAATCAGTTTCTCTTACAGTCATCTGCCAACTGCACAGATTTCTCTGACAGATCTATAATTCATTAGTACTGAAAGCTTTGTATTTTCCATAGAGGTGCCAGTGACATCTCTTAATTACCTATTAGCAGTAAGCCTGTAACTGTGCTAGTTGTTTCACATGAATTCACGGGCATCTAACAGGATCAAAACTGAACTACAGGGGAGAGAAAACAGCTGCAACTACAGTATTTCTTTTTCTTCCTTTTGTTCACCCAAAGACCAACTATTTATGAGGTCATGAAGTCAAAGCCTAGTTTATTAAGAAAGAAAATAGTCTGTTGAAGTAAACCTGTTTCTCATTTCTGGGAAGATGCTGTTAAGGTCTAGTCATATGGGCGCATTGTATTTTTAACTTTCTTACAGGTAAAGGTAGTGGTATTTGATAAGACTGGAACTATTACTCATGGGACCCCAGTAGTGAATCAAGTAAAGATTATAGTGGAAAGTAACAGGATATCACGCAATAAGATCCTGGCCATCGTGGGAACTGCAGAAAGTAACAGTGAACACCCTCTAGGAACAGCTATAACCAAATACTGCAAGCAGGTACAGTTTTATCTCTCATATTCATGTTGTCATCTCATGTTGGAATTACGCAGACCAAATCTTGACTGGCCTAATAGTTTATGTATATAATCAGTAGGAAGTTAAAGAGATTTGCATTTTTTTCATTTAATTGAATATATTGGGGTTGGAGCTCAGTTGGTAGAATGCTTGCCAACCATTCCTGGGTTTGATCCCCAGCACCAATAAATCGATGCCTTTAATCCTGGTACTTGGGAGGTAGAATTAGAAAGATCAGAAGTCCAAGGTCAACTTCAGTTACTTAATGAGTTTGAGGCAACCCTGGGCTACCTGAAACCTTGTGTCAAAAAATATTGTGTCATCGTTTCTTCACATAGACAACTGTAAAGACAGGAAAAGAAATGAATTCTGATCTTACCACATAGTAACCCCTGTTGACATAAAAGATAGAAACATTATATATTGAAAACAGAGATTGCACAGAGAATTTATGTAATAAAAAAGGAAACCTGGGCCAGGCGTGGTGGCCCACGCCTTTAATCCCAGCACTCGGGAGGCAAAGGCAGGTGGAGCTCTGTGAGTTCAAGGCCAGCCTGGTCTACATAATGAGTTCCAGGACAGCTGGGGCTACAGGGAGATCCTTTCGCAAAAAGACCAAAAAAAAAAAAAAAAAAAAGAAACCTTATTCTCCTCCCCCTTACATTTTTTTCTCTTTAAAATCTAATAGTTGTTATGCTATTACCAGTCATTTTAATAACTTGATTATTAAAATTTATTAATTTTTATGCATACAAGTGTTTTGTGTGAATTTATATAAGTGCACTATGTGTGTGCAATGCCCACAGAGGCCAGAAGAAGGTGTCAAATCCCCTGGAACTGGAGTTACAGGTGGTTGTTAGCTGCCATGTGGGTACTGAGTTTGGTTCCTCTGCAAGAGCAGCCAGTGCTCTTAATTGTTGAACCATCCTTCCAACCCCACAACTTAATTGATTTTTAATTTATATATAATAAATACTTTTTGTATAATCACAAGTATATCTGTTAACCTTTTAAATTAAAAAAATTCTTTTGATCTTTTTGAGACAGGGTCTCCCTGTAGCCCCACCTGACCTGGAACTTACTTTGTAGACCAGGCTGGCCTCGAACTCACAGAGATCCGCCTGCCTCTGCCTCACAAGTGCTGGGAATAAAGGCATGTGCCACCATGCCTAGCCTGAGTTAAAAATTTTTAAATTTATTATTAAAGATTTGTTTTACTTTTATGTGTGTATCTGCACATGTATGGAGGTGTCCACAGAGACCAGAAAGGTACATCAGATCTCTTGAAGCTGGAGTTTCAGGGGTTACTGAACTGCCCAATGTGGGTCCCGGGATTTGAACTCCAATCTTCTCATAGAGCAGCATGCACTCTCCAGCCCAACCTTTTTTTGTTATTTTAAAACAAGGACCTCCCTAGGTTACCCCAACTGGTGCTGAGCTCCTGGGCTTAAGTGATGCTTCTGCCCCAGTTTCCCTTGTGGCTGGGCCCACAGGCATATATGATTGCTCCTGGCTTAGTAATCTTTCTTTTGTTTTTGAGACAGGGTCTTACTATGTAGCTCAGGCTGGCCTGGGTCTAGCTATGTAGCCCAGGCAAACTTATGTACCTGCACAGATGTCTACTTCCCAAGTGCTGGTATTTCAGGTGTGCACCACCATCCCCACCTGCATTTATCATTTTAGACTTTGCACATTAAGAGTCATACAATGGCCAGCCTTTGTTACCTTCTTTTTCATTTTATTAGATGAATTTTCCCTATCAGGAAAGTTGTCATGTGTCTGTTCTGTTGTGTGATTAGTGTTTTATGGCCTTTACAGTGTATGCTGAGCATTCTTGTCAGCTTTTGCCAAGTCTTTACATTGAATATCTATCAGTGCAATTGCTAGATCAAAGGATGTTTTTAAAAAAATATTTTATTATTTTTATTTTATGTGTATGAGTGTATTGCCTACATGTATGTAAGTGCACCCATGTCATGCAGTGCCCATGGATGTCAGAAGAGGGCGTCGGATTCCCCTGGAACTGGAGTTATGGACAGTTGTTAGCTGCTATGTGGGAGCTGGAAATTGAACCTGGGTCCTCTGCAAGAGCGGCCAGTGCTCTTAACTGCTGAGCTATCTCTCCAACCCCCAAAAGATGTTTGTATTTAAATTTTCATGAATATTACCAGCACACATACTAAAGGTTCTATCAGTTTATACCTTTACCCAAAGTTGAGTGCCCATTTCCTCACATTCTTATCAATACTAGTTTTCCAGTTAAATTTTTTATTATACTAATTTTGTATACTCTGTGTATGTGTATGTGTGTGCATACACACCATAGCATACATGTGCAAGTCAGAAGACGGTATTCGGGAATTGGTTCTTTTCTTCCATTAGAGGAAATGTTTCTGTTTCTGTTTGTTAGGCGCTGGACACTGAAACCTTGGGTACCTGTACAGATTTCCAGGTTGTGCCAGGCTGTGGTATTAGCTGTAAAGTCACCAATATTGAAGGCTTGCTACATAAGAATAACTGGAAGACAGAGGAAAATAACATTAAAAATGCATCCCTGGTTCAAATTGAAGCAATTAGTGAACAGTCAGCAACTTCATCTTCTATGATTATTGATACTCATCTCTCAAGTAAGTTGATTTCTTTATAGTACTAATTATGGGACAGTTATGGACAGATGGCCAACTTTACAACCCCAAGATATTGTATAAGAAACAAAAATTAGCCAGGCATGGTGGCACATACCCTTAGTCCCAGCACTCTGGAAGCCGAGGCAGGTGACTCTCTTGAGTTCCAGGCTAGTCTCGTCTACATAGTTCCAAAGCTAGCTTGCACTACATATTGAGACCTTGTTTTCTTTTTTTCAAAAAAAAAAAAGGAAAAGGGGGCTGGAGAGATGGCTCAGAGGTTAAGAGCACTGACTGCTCTTGCAGAGGACCTGGGTTTGATTCCCAGCACCCACATCGCAGCTATGAACCATCCTTGACTCCAATTCCAGGGGAATCCGACACCCTCTTCTGACCTCCAGCACTGCACGACATGGGTGCACTCACATACATGCAGGCAATACAGTCATACACATAAAATAAAAGTAAAAAATATATATTTAGCTGGGCGTGGTGGCGCACGCCTTTAATCCCAGTACTTGGGAGGCAGAGGCACACCATGCCTTTAATCCCAGCACTTTGTGAGTTTGAGGCCCCCCTGGTCTACATAGTGAGTTCCAGGACAGCTGGGGCTGCAAGGAGACCCTGTCTCAAAAAGACACACACACACACACACACACACACACACACACACACACACATATGAGAAAGGAAAGGAAACAAAAATTGACATTATTACATTCTGTCAAATGCATTTTATTACAGGCCTTCTGATGACATCACTCAGTTACTCAGAAACATTTGGCAACTGTGCTCATTGACCGACACTGTAGGGTGATGAGGACAAGCCCAAGATGATTTTCCATGAGCTACTCAAAATCTTCTGTCTTTCACAAGTTCCCATCACCCTCCCTATTCTCCCCTTAGCAGATTAACTTATTTCTTCCATAGAAAATTAGAATTTGCTGGCAGGGGCTCTTTTGTGCTTTTTCTTTTTTCTTTTGTCTTTTTGAAACGCGGTCTCCCTGTAGCCTCAGCTGGCCTGGAACTAGCTATGTAGACCCGGTTGGCCTTGAACTCACAGAGATGTGCTGGGATTAAAGACATACGCCACCACGCCCAGCTCGTGCTTTTTCTTATAAACTCTTTTGTCTTTTTGAGAAAGGGTCTCCCTGTAGTCCCTGGAACTTGCTATGGAGACCAGGCTAGCCTTGAATTCACAGAGATCAGATTACTTCTGCCTCCCAAGTTCTGGGATTTAAGGTATGTGTCACCATGCCCAGCTGTTTTTATTTTTCTCCCCCAGGAAAATATGCTTCATCTTGCTGTAACAAATACATTTATCTTTGCACTAGACGCCATCCTCTCAGTTCTTCAGGGACTTCCCTTTCTGTTCTGGCCCTTGCTTCTTTACTTTCCATGTCTCCTTCTGTGGTACCTTCTCCAAAACATATAAACACTCTTCCATCAGAATCACTATATTTCCATAAATATTTTTCCCCTTTATACCTTTGAGAAAGAGTAGTGTAGGCTTGATGAATTCACCTCCTGTCTCACTTCTGCTCCATCCATGCTGTTGAAACAATTCTGAGTCTCTTGTGACTGTGGACCCCAAGGCCTATGCCAGTGCTCACTTTTCAGTCTGCATCCTGCATTACTTCCAGGGCAGTTGATGATGTTGGTTGTTTCTCCCCTCTGAAAACTCTTTCCTCCTTTGCATGTATTCCTCATCTATCTCTAGATTCTTCTCTTGTCTCCTTGGGTGTTCCTTCTAATTCTTCAGTTCCACCTACTCTCAAATACTGGATATCCTCAGTGATTTATTTCTTTGTCTTCTCATTTGATATTCCCTCCTCTATACACTATCATTCATACCCACCACTTATTTCTTCCCCTGCAGGTTTTCACTACCATTCCAAATTACGTATCTCTAGTGGAGATCTGTTTCTTCGGTGTCATACTCCCCAAACATGATCTATCCACCCAAGTATTCCAGAACTCCCCCACCCATTTGTGCCCAAGTGATTTTGCTAACTAACATGCAAATCTGGGCATGTTACTTTCTGACTACTGAGTTTGTTTAGTGGTTTATAGCTCATTTTTTGAATCATAGATCTTTTGAAAGAATGTGTTGAAAAGTGTGTATCTTCCCCTCATTTATTATGTCTGCTCTAAAAGGTTCACGTATATCATAGAGCCCTTCCATGGCTCTTGGTTAAGGGCCCATGATTTAATTGTTGTCACTCTTGTTTAAGACTTTGATATCTGCTCTGCCAGGTTAGCTCTCCTTCCTCCCTTATCACTCATGTCTTTTCCCAATGCTCCACATGTGCCCTGTGTTCTAGCCATACTAATTACCTATTTATAGTTACTCCTTAAGCCTGCCATTTTATTATTAGATCATTTCATTTACTGTTTATGCGCTGTTCTCATCCACAAAGAGCATTGACCCTGTGAATTTGTGCTTATCTTTCTAGACATGGCTTATGTCTCTTTTCAGTGACACCTTCACTGCTGACGTACACTGACAGAGATACTTACTCTTCTTAAATTATAGCTGTACTCTTTCTGCTATACTTGGCACATTGCAGAATAATTATTCTGTGGTCATTTCTACTTCTATGTGATTTCTTTTTTTTTGTCTATAGGTGTCTGGTATCAAGTAACTGACCTGTAGGAAATCACTAAACAACCTTTGTTGAGTATCTACTGTATGTCATGCATTGTTGAAGGTACTATAAAGAATCAGCAGTGAGGGATGAGGTGTAACTCAATGGTACATCTCTCTAACAATTTTCTTCTCTTCTGTGCTTAGCATGTGTGAAGCCCTGGGCTTGATTCCCAGCACCAAATGAGGAGGTGGGAGTTAGGGGCAAGTGTACAAGTTGAGAGACTAATGGGCTGTTGTTATAACCTAAGTAAAACAAAAAGTGGCTTGGACCAGTGTGATAACAGTAGAAGTCATGAGAAGTAGTCAAATTCTGGATGTGTTTTGAAGAAAGAGCCAAAAGATTTTATTACAGATTGGCTATATGAAGTATGAGCAAAACAAGAGTTAAAAATTATGCCAAAGTTTGTGGCCTACCCAGTTAGATGGATGGAGTTACCATTTAAATAGGATAAGGAAGATCAAAGGAGAGGCAATGTTGGAAGCAATATCAGAGTTCTCTTTTGTACAAGTTACATTGGGGTACCTGTTAGCTGTCCAGGTGGAGATACCACACACTGTGTGCAAGTGCGCATGCATGCGCGCACACACAGACAGACAGACACACGCACACAGACACACACACAAATATTAGGATATTAGGTAGGCAGTTGGCTACAGAGATCTGAAGATGCAGCAAACAGATTTGGGAGTCATTTGCTTTGTAGATCTGTGGTATCCAATTTGGTAGCCACTAGTTATATGTGACTGTTTCATTTTAATTTAATTAAAAGTTATTTTAATTTAAAATCCAGCCCTTGGATAATTTTTTCACTCAGTAGCCACATGTATTAGGTAGAGGCTGTATGTGAAACATTGAAGATATAGATGTAGAACATTTCCAACTATGTTCAAGAATCACGAGATTTTCTAAGTAAAGGTCACTGGTATATTATGTGAACAATTCATTGGAATAGTAAAGACAAAAGCTTTATTGGCATGTGTTAACAAGAGAATGGGATGAAGTGAATTAGAGGCAGCGAATAGGGACAACACTTTTGAGTAGTTTTGCTGTATACAGAAGAGAAATGTGGTAGTAGCTAAAGAAGCGAGATCAAGAGAGGAGGGACAACACTTTTGAGTAGTTTTGCTGTATACAGAAGAGAAATGTGGTAGCTAAAGAAGCGAGATCAAGAGAGATTTCTATTGCTTTTAAGAAGAGGACAATATATAGCAGAGATAGAAAGTGGATTGTTCAGGAAGAAGTGAAGAGAGTTGTTGGAGAGATGGTCTGGAATAGGCAGAGGAGGGGGTCTGATATACAGGTAGAGAGACTGGCTTTAGCAGGAGCAGGCTCTGTTTATAACAGAGGGCCGAGAAGGGATGTGCACATAGGAGACACAGGAGCTGGGGATGTGGAACCATGAGAAGTCTTCTAGTGATTGTGTTGCAGGGAAGATGAGGCAGGACATCAGGAAGGTTCACGAAGCAGGTTTTATTTAGGCTGCAGCCTGGTCCGGAGGGCTTAAGTCTCAAAGTCTGGACCCCAAAGTGTTCTTAACATTTTATACTTTGGATATGAGGGTTACAGCATAGGTAAATTACATATTGGTTGGCTAACAGCAGAAAGTTATAAAAAGCAAGTGGTAAGTCTAGTTCCTGAGGGGACAAAAGTGTAAAAGTCCCTGTCTGAGACAAACAGAAATGAGGAAGTTTGAGTCTAGCTAGTTGTTTCAGTGTTCTAAGCACAAACTTGTCAGCTGAACTTTACTGACAGAGACAGAGACAGACAGAGATAGAGAGGATTAAAATCCATTTTCCTTGATTTTTCCATGTTTCCATCAGGCTCTACATCAATTGCTTCTACTTTCCTTCTGAAGTAGGAAGTAGTCATCATCTGGTAGGAGAATGGGAGAGGGCAATTTAGATATTTGAAAGAAGAGAAGATTTGAAGTAGCCATCCTGAAAAAAAATAGATAATGGGCTGGGCACATGTAGTCAAATCTCTCTCCAACGGTACTAAAAGCTCACCTAAAATTAGTGGTCACAAGTTTAAATTGAGATATCAACATGGTTACATATTTACATGCAGTCACATTCAGCTACTGGTGCATAATAAATGTTTGAATTATGATGGATGATCAAAGGAAAAGCCTCACAAAGAAAGCAACATCTGAACTAGCATATTCTTTCTCTTCTTCCCTCTCTCTTCCTCCCTCTCCCTGCCCCCTCCCTCTCTCTTGCTGAGAACTGAACCTAGGACCTCATGATAATGCAGGCACTGGGCCACTGAGCTATATCCCCAGCCCTGGAAGTAGCGTTTGAAGAATATGATGGGGTTTGCTATTTGGAGAGAAGGGGTAAAGACATTTTTGGTGGAGGTAGCAACATGGGTCCAGAGGTATGGAAGAGCAGGGTATATTCCTAGAAAACCTGAACAAGTTGTGTTCTGTCAAAAATATAACTGCAGTGACTGGCTACACAGTTAGGTAGGAAGAACTTGCCTCATGAAGGTTTTAAAGGTTCAATAAGTTCACTGAATGCTATTTCTCTACTTTCTTCTAGATCCTGTTACTACTCAACTGTACAAAGTTCTCATTGGTAACCGTGAATGGATGATTAGAAATGGTCTTGTCATAAGTAATGATGTAGATGATTCCATGATAGAACATGAAAGAAAAGGTCGGACTGCTGTATTGGTAGCAATTGACGGTAAAGTTTCCCAGAAATATACTAGGACACTGTTATGAGCTCAGTCATTGTTGCATGTGTGTCTGAAAGACTCTTGAACTATGAGTGTTATTCCAAAGCAACTGAATACAAAGTGAAAACATTAGCAACATATGATTGTTACTAATTAAGAAATTTCTTGGCTGGGTGTGATGGCGCGTGCCTTTAATCCCAGCTCTCGGGAGGCAGAGGCAGACAGATCTCTGTGAGTTCGAGGCTAGCCTGGTCTACATAACAAGTTCCAGGCCTGCTGGGGCTACAGGGAGATCCTGTTTCAAAAATACCCCAAGAAATTATTCCTTGCTAGCTGTTGTGGCTCATGCTTATAATTTCAACGCTTGGGAGTCTGAGCAGGATAATCATGAGTTTGAGGGCTACCTAGCAAAACCCTGTCTCAAAAAAATCAATAACAAATCAACAAAACAAAACCCAGGCATGGTGGTGCATACTTATAATCTCAGTACTTGGTGGAAACAGGAGGACCAGGAGTTCACATAGCAAGGTTAAGGCCAACCTGAGCTACATGAGACCCTGTCTCAGGAAAAAAAATAAAACACTAATTGAAAAAAATATCTCAGATTGGGCCCTAAATTCAATCCCCAGCACCACAAAATTAAAAAAAAAAACTAAAAAAATTCTCTTCTTGGGGCTAGAGAGGTGGCTTAGAGGTTAAGAGCACTGGCTGCTCTTGCAGAAGACCTGGGTTTGTTTCCCAGCACCCACCTTGTGGCTAACAACTGTCCATAACTCTAGTTTCAGGGGAACCAATACCCTCTTCTGACCTTCCAGGGTATGAGGTATGCACATGGTACAGCTACAACATGCAAGCAAAACTCATACTCATAAACTGAAAATTAAGATGAGCGTGGTGGCTTAATCCCAGCACTCAGGAGGCAGAGGCAGGTGAGATTGAGGCCAGCCTGGTCTACGTACTGAGTACCAGGCCAGCTGGGGCTCCTGGGAGACCCTGTCTCAAAAAGACCAAAAAAAATTTAAAAAAGATTTGTCTTGTATTTGTCCACCTCTGTTACATTCTTCCCTTGCCTGTTTCAATAAAAATTAATCATGGATTTAAAAAAAATCTTAAAATAATAGTTAAATAATAGAAGAAAATAGCATTAATAATCCTGCCATCCTAATACTAGTTTTAATTTCATATATTCTATTCCTGAATTGTTGATATATTTATATATCTTTATGTAATCATAATATTACTATTTGTACTTTCTTGCATTTGTATGTATATAGTATGTGTGCATGTGTGTGCATGTCGAGGCCTGAGGTTGATGTTGTGTTTTTCTTAATCGTTCTCAGCCTAATATATTGAGGTGGAGTCTCCTGCAGAATCTGTATTCTGTTTCAACTGACTGGCTGGCCAGCTTGCTCTACTCGTTCCCTGTCTTGACCTCCCCAGTGCTGGGATTACAGGCAGGCCACTAAACTCTGTTCCTCGCTCTTGCATGGCAAGCATTTTACCCCAGAGCCTTCTGGCCTTTTTTTTTTAAAGACAGTGTCTCCCATATTCCAGGCTAGCCTTAAATTTACTGTGTAGCCAAGGGAGAACTTGAACATCTGACTCTCCTGTCTCTACCTCCAAATGCACACATTAGAAGTGTGTACCACCACATCCAGTTTATATGCTGCTTTAGATTGAACCTAGGACCTTGTGCATTCTATGGAAGCACTGTTCCAACTGTGCTACATCCCCAGCCGTGTACTATTTTTAATGGGTACATTTTATTATATGTGAACTTTATGTCAATAAAGTTAAATAAAAATTTAAAATCCTGTTGGGAGTGAGGCTGAAAAGATCGCTTAGTGGTTAATATCACTTGCTGCTCTTCCAGAAGACTAGAATTCATTTCCCAGTGCCCACAGCAGTTCACAACTACCTGTAACCCCAGCTCCAGGTGTTCTGACACTCCCTTCTGGTGTCTGTCAGTGGGCATCTGCATGCACATACATACACACACACGCACACACACTAAATAAATAAGGAATTGCATATTAAATAATAAATAAATAAATAAATAAATAAATAAATAAATAAATAAATAAAAAATCTTAAAAAAACAGGGGCTGGAGAGATGGCCTAGCAGTTAAGAGTACTGGCTGCTCTTGTAGAGGACTGGGGTTCAGTTCTTAACACCCACATGATGGCTAACAACTCTCTGTAACTCCAGTCCCAGAGGATGTGACATCCTTTTCTGGCCTTCATGGGCATTGTATGGTACGGGTACACTTACAGACATGCAGGCAAAACAGTCATACACATAAAATAAAAACTAAAAATCTTAAACAGCAAAACCTTTAAAATCTGTTGGAGATATATAGAGCAGCCATAGATTACTTTCCTAGTATGCTCAAGGGTTTGATTCCTAGCATTGTGGGGGGAAAAAAAAGCTAGGTGTGTGATTCTGAGCACCTTGGGAGGCTCAGGCAGGAAGACTGAGTTTGAGGCTAGCAGGAACTACATGGTGAGACTCTATTTCAAAAAACAAAATAAGGGCTGGGACTTTAGCTCAGCAATACAGTGATTACTTAGCAAGAGCAAAGCCCTCTGTTCTAACCCCAGTACCACAAAAATAAAGCTCTTTGTATACAGTTTTATTATGCTTTATTTTACTTAGTGAAGTATTTTCCATTGTTGCTGTGTAATTTTATTTTCTTTTAAAAAAATATTTATTATTTTTAATTTTATGTGTATGAGTGTATTGCCTGCATGTAGGTAAGTGCACCCATGTTGTGCCCACTGAAGACAGAAGAGGCTGTTGAATCCCCTGGAACTGGAGTTAAGGATGGTTCGTAGCTGCCATGTGAGTGCTGGGAATCGAACCTGGGTCCTCTACAAGAGCAGTCAGTGCTCTTAATCGCTGAGCCATCTCTCCAGCCCCTTTGTTTTCCTTTTATTTTTGCATTTCTAGAGATCAAATCCAGGATGTGGGTATTCTAGGCAAGCACTTTACAAACTGAGCTACACCCCTAAATTCTAGAACTTTATTTTTAGAAGTATTTTATCTATTTTTATTTTTTGTGTATGAGTGTATTGCCTGAACATATGTAAGTTGCACCTATGTTGTGCAATGCTGGCAGAGTTCAGAAGAGGATGTTGGATCCTCTGGAGTTAGTTGTTAGCTGCCATGTGGGTGCTGGGAAGTGAACCTGGTTCCTCTGCAAGAGCAGCCAGTATTCTTAACCTGAGTTATCTCTTCAGCCCCTAGAATTTTATTTTAATTCTGCATAACAGAATTAAATCAGATTTACATACTGTACATCATTGCCATGTTAGAAATTTAGAGGGTTATAAAAATATTTTATTATTTTTATTTTATGTGTATATGTATTGCCTGCATGTAGGTAAGTGCACCCATGTTGTGCCCACTGAAGACAGAAGAGGCTGTTGAATCCCCTGGAACTGGAGTTACAGACAGTTGTTAGCTGCCATGTGGGTGCTGGGATTCCAACCTGGGTCTTCTGCAAGAACAGCCAGTGTTCTTAACCCCTGAGCCATCTCTCCAGCCCCTGGGTTTTTTTAGTTTTTTTTGAGACAGGATATTGTAGTCCCAGCTGGCCTGGAAGTCACTACGTAGACCAGGCTGGTCTCGAACTCAGAGAGATCCGCCTGCCTCTGCCACCTGAGGGCTAGGGTTAAAGGCATGGGCCATCATGCGCAGTTAGAGTACTTTTTAAAAAGTTTTTTATTATGGAAATTAAAAAAATACTTTATTATTTTTATTTTATGCGTATGAGTGTATCACCTGCATGTATGTGAGTGCACCCATGTCGTGCAATGCCGTGGAGGTCAGAAGACGGCTTCAGATTCCCCTGGAACTGGAGTTAAGGACGGTTCGTAGCCACCATGTGGGTGCTGGGAATCGAACCCGGGTCCTCTGCAAGAACAGTCAGTGCTCTTGACTGCTGAGCCATCTCTCCAGCCCCAGAGTACTTTTTTATACATTTATTTTGTGTGTCTGTGTGTGTATGGGCACCCATGTGCATTGTGCAGGTGGAGGTCAGAGAATAACTTGTGGGAGTTCTCTCTTTCTACTATATGAGTCCTGGGGATCAAACTCAGGTTGTCAAGCTAGGTTGTAAACGCCCTTTCACGCACTGAGCCATCTCACTGGCCCTAGAGTATTCTATTTTTTTTTTTTAAGACACGGTCTCCGGGGCTGAAGAGATGGCTCAGCAGTTAAGATCACTGACTGCTCTTGTAGAGGACCTGGGTTCGATTCCCAGCATCCACATGGCGTCTACAAACGGTCCTTAACTCCAGTTCCAGGGGAATCCAAAGCCCTCTTCTGGCCTCCATGGCATTGCATGACATGGGTGTACTCACATACATGCAGGCGATACACTCATACACATAAAATAAATAAAAAGACAGGGTCTCCCTGTAGCCCCAGCTAGTCTGGAACTCACTATGTAGACCAGGCTGGCCTTCAACTCAAAGATCTGCCTGCCTCTGCCTCCTGAGTTCTAGGACTAAATGCGTGTGCCACCAGGCCCAGCTTATAGTATTCTTAATACTTCATCATTATAAATACTACAGTAAACACATGTAAGGTTTTATGTATTTCTATTTCATAAATGAATTTCCAGCTGAGGTTACTCATTCATCATTTATAATCTGTTCTACGTAAGAAGGTTGTGCCCCACTATGGCATTTTTAGGAATAGGAACAAACAGAATATACCAGTGTGTGTGTGTGTGTGTGTGTGTGTCCATGTGTGCACACATATGCATTCACTGGCCAGAAGTTGTAGGGTTTTGTTCTGTTTGCTTTTAAATTAGCTAAAAAGTGTTTGTGGCTATAGTCAAATATGGATCTAGGTGGGAAAAGGGTCTTTTAATATTTAGTGACATCTTTCTTTTCCTCTTTTTTTTTTTTTTTTTTTTTTGAGACACTGTCTCCCTGTAGCCTCAGCTGGCCTGGAACTCGCTATTTTGACCAGGCTGGCCTCAATCCCAGAGATCCACCTACCTCTGCCTCCCGAGTATAGGGATTAAAGGCATGTGCCACCATGCCCAGCTTGACACCTTTCTTATCATTTTCCTCTTACTACCTTCATTCATTGCCTGTACTTTATGAAATTTTCATAACCACACATGGAAGGTTATTATGGGGTATGTAGAATAAAGTCGGTATGGACTCAGGATGTTGTGAATTAGGCCAAGCACTGAAAAACTTCACAAAATTCATTCCTTTCTGAAATTTTACCCTACAGTATTATTCTTTCAATATATTCTAAACTGTTTTTCTCTGCTGCTCTCTTATTAGATGAGCTGTGTGGCTTGATAGCCATCGCTGATACCGTGAAACCTGAGGCAGAGCTGGCTGTCCATATTCTGAAATCTATGGGCTTGGAAGTAGTTCTGATGACTGGAGACAACAGTAAAACAGCTCGATCTATTGCTTCTCAGGTGAGTGGTTTGGGGCACGTGGTAACTTCTCATTCTTCACATATGATTTCTTTATTTCATTCAAGTGCTAAAAAATTTACATTACCTATTGTTTTCATCATCATCAAGTATCTAACCTGACTCCTTAAAAAAACATCAGCATGGTATGATGGAAGGACTTTATTACTAATGTAAGTGAAGAGCTAGTACTTAGCTTATGGGATGTTTGAATGACAATGCACACCAATCTCTGTTCATGCTTCCTTTGAAATAATAGCAAGTTTTCACCAGTGCTACTCAGCTTTCTTCATGCCATGCCTAAAACATGGCAGTAGCTCCACACAGGTTCCTCTCTGCTCCATCCTGAAGGCCACCAGTGGAACTCTTCTCTTTGACATAACATTTTTCCAAATCCCACATGTGTTCACCTCCAACATTTTAATTTTTAAAATTTAGAATGCCTCCTCAGAGCCCTCTTCTAGTGAATATTTCTGTATTTATTTTTTGTCTATGTGTGTGTGGGGGCATGCACATGCCAGGCATGTTTGTGGAGGACAGAGGTCATCTTGCTGAAGTAGGTTCTCTCCTTCACTGTGTGATTTCCAGGGACCAAACTTAGGTCACCAGGCTTGGTGGGAAACACCTTTACCTACTGAGCCATTTTGATGGCCCTCTTCCAGTAAACAACACAAGAAATATCTGAGTAAACTCAAATATAAGAATATGATAGGTGTAAGGAGTTTGCTACCATTTCCCCATGTTTCCTATCACGTTCTCCCCCTTACCTTTTCATTCACATACATGCTAGTTCTGATATTTTCAGTATCAACTGGATCATTTTATACAGATTATCTAGAAGTTTCTTTTTATATATTACAATATTTCTTAGAGCTTTGTTCATGTCTTAGTGTATAAAATCATTTCATTCCTTCTACACTGCTGCATGGAATTCCATATCATGGATGTATCATAATTGGAACCATTCTTGTAGTGATGGACATTAGGTGGTCTTCAAAATTTTGTCATTGCAAATAGCCAACAGTAAACATCTTTGATGTCTTTGTACCTGAAAAAGTCTATCTTAAAGTATAGCTGAAAGTTGAATTGCTAGAGCAGATGATGTGTATGATTTCATTAATGCTGTCCCCCAAAGATAGCACCAGTCTCTCTCTACCTACCAACAGTGCAGAAGAGCACTTGCTATTCCACATTACCACTGGATGTTTTCAGTCTTTTAAAATGTAGACATATGGTGGGTTAAGAATGATGGCTCAGGTATGGTTTTAAAAAATTATCTATTGTTATATTTTAAATTTTTTATTTATTTTTATTTTATGTATATGAGTGTGTTGCCTGCATACATGCATGCATGCAAGTGTGCCTGTGCATGCAATGCCTGTGTAGACCAGAAGAGGGCTTTCAATCACTTGGAAATGGAGTTACTGATAGTTGTTAGGCACCATGTGGGTGCTGGGAACTGAGCAGAGGCAAGAACAAGTGCTTTCAACCACTGAGCCATCTCTTCAGCCCCTCAGCCATGTTAGAGGTACTCAATATCACTTCTTAAAATGAGTTGAGATGATTTTCTTTACATAGGTTGGCATTACTAAGGTGTTTGCTGAAGTCCTACCTTCCCACAAAGTTGCTAAGGTGAAGCAGCTTCAAGAGGAGGGGAAACGAGTAGCGATGGTAGGAGATGGAATCAATGATTCTCCAGCTCTGGCAATGGCAAATGTTGGAATTGCCATCGGCACAGGCACAGATGTAGCCATTGAAGCAGCTGATGTGGTTTTGATAAGGGTAAGTCCTGGAGCTCCAGTGGCACAGTCACTTAGCAGGACACAGTCACTTAACAGGGCACAGTCACTTAGCAGGCAGTGCTCATATGATAAGGTTAAGCACTGCGGTCTGATATGAGGAGTGAGAGACTACCTGGTCTGGTCAGTGGTAGTGTTGTAAAGCACACTAAGCAGTTCTCCTGCCCCAAGTTCCATATTCCTAGCCATGAAGACTGAGAGAATTTGGAGTGGCAGTATGGAATTCTCACGAATTGCTTACAGACTTTCTTAGTCCCAGTAATGCAAATAAAAATGACAAGCTTCTATGTGAAATAAGATTTAAGAGTATATTTATAATATAACTATCTTCAATAAATATTTACTGAGTTTATTTTAATACTTAATCCTTGTACCAGGAGACAGCCCTGAAAGTATTTTCAGAACCCTCAGAAAAAATTCTGAAAAACATCTTCAACCCTGACTCAAAAATTTAGCAATTTCTGAGATTTGTGGATAATTCATACAGTAGCCTGATGTACATATAATTCTCATCCTACACAGGATTAAATACACAAGTTCCTAGTAAAAGTAGCGTCTCTAACACCAAAAACATTTCTCTCTTCAGAATGATCTTCTGGATGTAGTGGCAAGTATCCACTTGTCAAGAAAGACAGTCAAGAGGATTCGAATCAATTTTGTCTTTGCTCTAATTTATAATCTGGTTGGAATTCCCATAGCTGCTGGTATGACTCTTAACTGTTATTTTTCATTGTTGTTGAAGTCATTAGACATCTATCATATTGGAATAATTACTCTTACTATTTTTAATTTTGAGCTTAGTTTTTGTATATAGCCTCCTCACATGGTGAGAGTTAATATTAGAACCAATAATTTTCAGCATAGTCCATTACAGCCTAACATTTTGATGTTTCTCTTATTTTTCACTCCAACTTTATAATTTGAAAAATGTCACAGCTAAGTAAATATTGAAGAAAATGGTAACAATGAAAATCTGTGCCTGCATTCACCTGTACAAACCCACACATAAGCACACATACATGCAGAGTATTAAAAATTAAAAATGAATCTTTTTTTAGATGTAGCCCTGACTGGCTTGGAACTTGCTATATACACCACGATGGCCTCATGGTTACAAAGATCTGCTTGCCTCTGCCTCCTGAGTGCTGGGATTAAAGGTGTGTGCCCCCATGCCCAATAAAATAAATCTTAAATCTGGAGCTGTGGCGATGTCTCAATGATTAAGGTGAGGTTTCTGCTCCTGCAGAGGACCCTGGTTCACTTCCTAGCACCCAAATGGCCTTTTCCAACCATCTGTAACTCCAGTTCCAGGAGAAGTGCCATCATTTTGTCTGTATGGGCAGTGAACAACATGGGTGTACCTACATACATTTAGGCACTCATACAGATAAAATAAAAAAAAAATAAATCCTAAAAATGAGGAAAATCTGTATACCTGTCATGCAAACTCACCAATTGCTATTTTGTTAAATTGTTTTGTATCTTTCTCCATCTATATATGTATATGGGTTTTTTACTTATTCATTTACTTTTTGCTGAAATTTTTACTTATAATTTCACTACCCAAATAGAACTACTGTTAGCATTTTAAATTTCTTTCCAATCTTTTTTACTCTGCATCACTTTAAGCCTTGTTACATACTTGTGGTTATAGAATTTCTGCTCTTAATACTCTGTTAGAGTCAGCAAATGTTCTTCTAGAATGAGAGACCAAGTGACAGAGTGATTATAGGACTATGAACAATAAGCAGTAACTTAGAATTATTTAATATGCATCTGAGATGCCTAAATTTAATGGTTTTTAAAAATTCATTTTTATTTTATGTGCATGAGTGTTCTCCCTGCATGTAAGTGCTTGTGTTGTAAAATGCCCTCAGAGACCAGAAGAGGGCGTCAGATCCCTTGAAACTGGCTGTTAGCCACTGTGTGGGTGCCGGGAACCCTACTCAGTTCTGCAAGAGCAGCCAGTGCTCTTAACCACTGAGCCACCTCTCCAGCCTGGAATCTCCTAAATTTAGATACTTGATGGAGTTAATAATGACAAGAGAAGTAGTTACCACTTTCTCCTTATTCTCTCTGGTTTGAAATGTGAACTAGCTACAACACTATTTAGTACAAGGACACACAAATGCCCAGGGACAAAACAAAAGGACAATCCACGACCAATACTGTTAAATCATGGAGCAAGAGAGTTTTAAAGAGACTATACAGTAGCCAGGTGTGGTGGTGCATGCCTTTAATCCCAGCACTCGGGAGGCAGAGGCAGGTGGATCTCTGTGAGTTCAAGGCTAGCCTGGTCTACATAGTGAGTTCCAGGACCGCTGGGGCTATAGGGAGACCCTGTCTCAAAAAAAAAAAAAAACTATACAAAGTATATGATTACTGTAGGAAAAGTAGAAAGATCCAGGTAAACTCATAAAGTTAAAAGTATAAATCTATATTTTATATTCATCATATGAGCAACTATTAAAATGTCAAAACCAAGTGTGGCCAGGCAGGCTTGGTAGCTCGCACCTGTAATCCCAGAACTTGGGCGACAAAGACAGGAGGACAGCAGCAAGTTGAAGGTCAGCTTAGTCTACATAGCTGGTTCTAGGTGTCAGGGCTACATAGCAAGACCCTGTCTCAAAAACCTTAAAGAAAGAAATAAATGATTAGATAAGTTAAAAAAATTTAATTTCTTAAAGAGTTGGTCCAGATGTGGTGGCACATGCCTAATTTAATCCAAACACTCAGGAGACAGAGGTAGGCGGATCTCTGAGTTTGAGGCCAGCAAAGACCATAGTGAGATCTTGTCTCCACAAAAAGTGGGCAAAAAAAAAACCAAAAAGGAAAGGCACGTGTATATGAATTTGTAGAGCCTGCCCCCCCAGCCACTTCAGAGAATGAGGGATGTCCACCTACAGTTGATGATGTAATCATACTGTTATGACACAGCACCCTTAGGAGACACTGTAGAGAAATTCTCAAACATAGGGACAGGAGATTATTAAAAAAAAAACACCAATGTTCACAGCAATGCTCTCCTAAGGAAAGATTGGCAGTCTTCTTGTTTGCTTTCAATTGCTGTAACAAAACATTCTGACCAACACCAACTTGGGGAGGACAGGGTTGATTTGACTTACATCTTCCAGGTCACAGTTCGTCATTGAGGGAGCCCAAGGTAGGAACTCAGGGCAGGAACCTGGAGGCAGGAGCTAGAGCACAGGCCATGGAGGAATGCTGCTTATTGGCTTGCTCCTCTGGCCCCTGCTCAGCCTGCTTTCTTATACAACATTGGCCCACCTGCCCAGGGGTGGCACCACCCGCAGTGGGCTGGGCCCTCCCACATCACTCAGTAATTAAGAAAATGCCCCACAGACATGACCACAGGCCAGTTCAATGGAGGCAATTCCTCAACTGAGACTCCCTCTACCCAGGTGTGTCAAGTTGACAACTAAAGCTATCCAGCATAAGCAACAACACAACCTCCTCAAGCAAAAGGATAGAAATATCAAGAAAATGATTTGTATATACCTTAGAAGTGCATTGATAATTCATTTAGTGCTGCCTACTCTAACTAATCCAAACTTGTTTTCAGGAGCTTTTCTGCCCATTGGTTTGGTTTTGCAACCCTGGATGGGGTCTGCAGCAATGGCTGCTTCATCTGTTTCTGTAGTACTTTCTTCTCTTTTCCTTAAACTGTAAGTATGATGGCTTGTTCATGTCAGAATTTCATATACTTTTTAACATGTGGTCTGTCTTTATAGGTTTGCTTCTTGTATTAATGAACAATAAACCCAAATAATTTTGTGTGTGTGTGTGTGTGTATGTTCATGTGTTTCTGTGCATGTGTGTGTGCCTGAGTGCACATGTGTGTAGTGGCCAGAGGTTGACGTTAGGTGTCCTCCTCTTATTTTTTCCACATTATTTTTTGAGACAAACTCTCTGACCAAACCTAGAGTTCACCAATTTGGCTAGACTGACTGGCCAAGCAAGCCCTCAGAATTCTCCGGTCTCTGCCTCCCCAGTGCTAGGATCTTAGGTGCATGCCACTGTGCCCAGCACTTACATGAGTGCTGGGGATCTTAACTCAGTTCCTCATGCTTGGCACAGCAAGTACTTTATCCACTGAGCCATCTTCCCAGTCACCCAAATAATTCTTAAGAATTATTAGGTAGTAATTAATAAATATAAGCAAACTGTGTATGGTGATGCACACTTGTAATCCCCAGCACTAAGAGATAGAAGTCAGAGAATAAAGAGTTTGAGTCCAGCCTGCGTTACATAGTAAAGACTCTGTCTCATGTCAGGTGTGGTGGAGCATGCCTTTAATCCCAGCACTTGGGAGGCAGAGGCAGGCAGATCTCTGAGTTTGAGGCCAGCCTGGTCTACATAGTAAGTTCCAGGCCAGCTGGGGCTACAAGGAGACCCTGTCTCAAAAAGACCAAAAAAAGGTATAGAAAAACAAACGAAAAGGCTAAGTAATTAATCATTTCATGCAGTCTAAGCATATAGCAAGCAAGTCATCCACTGGCTCTGAGAAAAAGGACTTCTGATTATGTGACACCACACAATTCATTTTGAGTGACTTCCCTGGTAGTAACCTCTCTTTTACATTTTATACTGAGAAAACATCCTTTCATTTGTGCATGTAACACATTTCACATTTGGTTATTTTAAACTAGTGTTCTTTTGCATGTATCCAGTTATAGGAAACCAAGTTATGAGAATTACGAATTGCGTGTCCGGAGCCAGATAGGACAGAAGAGTCCTTCAGAAATCAGTGTTCATGTTGGAATAGATGACACCTCCAGGAATTCTCCAAGACTGGGTTTGCTGAACCAGATTGTCAATTACAGCAGAGCCTCCATAAACTCACTACTGTCTGATAAACGCTCCCTCAACAGTGTTGTTACTAGTGAACCTGACAAGCACTCGCTTCTGGTAGGGGACTTTAGGGAAGATGACGATACCAATCTGTAAAAGGCCTCAGGGGATGTGCACTGACACAACACTCATGAAGTCGTGGAAGGAATTTGTCAGCCTCATGCTCTTACGAGTGAGATTCAATTTGAGTTTTATTTGTTGATAGTAAAAATATCTTTCTTGGTGCAAAAGCTCTGAACCTGGCTTTATTCAAAATGAGTCTCCAGCAGTTTTTGTTTTCGCTGGTAATAAATTAGGGTGGAACAGTAAGTTTAGAACAAGCTCTACAATTAAAGGTTGCTGACTTGCTGCTAATATGACAGATTGCTTTTATTTGACCAAAAAAAAATGCCCAAAGACAGGATGATTAAAAATATGAAGATTTGAGAGCATGACCTTGAGGTATTCTTGAGCCTATATCCTTGCCCTACTGGGGAGCAATGGTTTTCAAAGCACTGTACAAAGCATCTAGTTTAGAAGGAAAACAGTTGAAACTGTTTAAAAATAGATGTGCCTTATTTATTGTAGGCTTTCTCTCACCTCGTTCTGCCTGCATCTTTGTCCTTTTATTCCCAAGATGCTCCAGGAAAGTTTTTGTCAGCTTCCTTCAAGTGAGCCAGGTTTAGGTGGTTTTTCATTGATTAAAATAACTGACAACAATCACTTGGAGTGAGGCAGAAGGATTGCAAGTTCAAAGCCAGCCTGGGCTATATATGCCAGGACCCTGTCTCAGAACATTTGAACTGACAACTTATTCCTTTTATTTTATTTTGTAGCTCAGAAGACCTTAAGGGTCTACAGAGTTCTCTACTCTCCTGTCTGTCCACTGTTGTTAAAAATTCCCAGGTTCTTCTTCCAACCTCTCTAACTCTGCTAGCTTTCAGTTCTTTCCTGCTGAGTTCAGCTCTAATTAGTAGAGTCTGTCCAGCAGTCTCAGTCCAGAACTTAGCATTTGACCTCTTTCACTGAAAATATTTGCAAAGATTAACACTATTATTTTTCACATATAATGGCCAAATAAAAGTAACTGGACTCATTAAATTCATCTTTTGGGATAGCATATAATCACTTGGCTGGCATATATAATTTAATAAGATACTAATTACCTCTTGTGTTTTAGATAATTTGTCACAATTACTTTAAAATAATGCTATTACACAAACTTGCTTTTACCAAAATTTATAGAAAATTGTAATAGAGAAATTCAGATTTCACCATTTATAATACCTTGTAGTCAAATACAGTTTTCTATTGTTTAAAACATTTGTGCTTATAAGTAAACTCCAAATATTTTGTTGCCACTCCATACTTTAAACCAGTAGCACAAAGCCTAACGTATGTGATGTCTGCTCAGAAAATGATTTTTTCTGTTCTTCAGGTCAATTTTTACAGAGCAGGGTCTAATATCAGATGGGGAAGGCTTTCTTCTGTTCTGCCCCTTTTCTCTTTTCTTCTTTCATCCATACCCAAAAATGTTTACATTAGTCAGTGCTATCTTTTCAGATTTGGAAGAGGCCTAACTTGTCTATGTTAGCTATCTTAGAGAGAGAGGTGAAACTTTTGATGAAGGTGCTATTAATCTAGAAAGGCAAACCTGTTTTAATAAAGTATGATTGAGTTTGTACGTTTAAGCTGTATTTTAGACTAATCCCTACACCATCTTCCATGCTTACAGTTTGAGTTTTAATTTTTTAAATTCCACTGGCCCATCTTAATATGCTTCATTTACTTCCAGAAGAAATCCCTAGTACTAGAGTTGTATAATAGATTTTTCTCACTCTGGATCCAAATTGAGAACAGAAGCTTGGCCACACCAACTCCCCACCAGTTACTTCTGCTACACTTGTGCTGTTGAATCCTCCTTTGCATCTACATCCTGTCATAGGACAGTGAGGATAGCATTTCAATTCTCACTACAAGAAAAAAAAGTGTTAGAAAGAAGCTGTATTCATAGGAGAGTGAGGTAAGTCATACACGGGATCACATACATTGCTTTTAGCTAGTCAGTAGCTTTAAGGAACTAGTTGTTGCCAAGGACAAGTTTTGTAAGTGCTTATTCATATACATAGGTACACACACAGATCAACCATACAGAAAGAAAATGGATGTCTGTTTGCATCTGGCTATTCTGAGGTCCTTTCTTTGTCACTCTTCTGTACTCAGCAGCCATTCCCTCAGACAGAAGGCACCATGAACACTTTGCTTTCTAGTGCTGGTGCAGACTCAGCTAGGAGCAACTTTAACTTAAATATCCAAAGATGCCTTTTGAATTTAAAGATTAAAACACAACTATTTAGTATTGTAGTCTAAAAAAGTATGGTTGAGAGGTGTGAAATAGAAATATTTTTCCTGGTTTAGTATCAACATTTTAGGTAAAATTGATGCCTTATGAACAAATAATTTTATATTATGCTTTAATTTTTAAAAATTATTCTTTATTCAGATACACAAAATGCTTGAAATAGCACTGTAGACAAGATATTTCCAAAAATGTAAGACTGCATATCTCTTCTGTACACAGCTTAAAATCAAAAATGTATAGCAGAGGATTTTTCCATTACTTGTGGATTCTGCTTTAAAATTATTTTTCTTAATATTTATTTTACTCTATTTTGTTACTTTCTTTGGATGAGGCATCTGGTTACGGGTTATTTTTTTAAAAATAAAGACATTTCTGCTATCACTCCCTTTGGGTTATTTTGTTTGTTTTCTATATTTAAAATATTTCTTTACCAAATAAAAATCTAGATTCATGCCAAATTATTACCAGTTTTTACACTAAATTTAAGTCCTTCAATAAGGTATAAGTAATCAGATAAAACACAAAACATTAATTCTTATTTTTCAATCAAAGGCGCTTCTTGAATGGCATCAATAATACATGTCTTTTGTAGCTACAACCAGGTGTCTCAGCCTTGTGTTTTTAAAGAAATATTTAGCTAAACATTGTAAAACATTTATTAGTTTCCAAAAACAGGAGTGGACAATGTGTGCAATATTTATCTGCTGTAGCCTAGTGTTTTTTTCATATGTATGTAATTGATCATATTTCTGCCGAGGATGTGCCTTCAACTTTATAATTATAGTGTTGTAAAAAAACAAAGCAAAAACAAAAACAAAAACAAAAAAACGTTGTCAAGTGTCACTTGTGTTAAATCATCCAACACCCCAGCAGTTCCAAACCACTCTTGTTGTGTTATTTGGGGGCTCTTGGGTGTTCTTTGTTCAACTCTTAATCCATTTTGTGGCAGGATTAGAGGTAGCAACACACATTTAATGTGGGGAGACAAAATCTATTTTCCAGGCCGGGCATGGTGGCACACACCTTTAGTCCCAGCACTTGGGAGGCAGGCAGATCTCTGTGAGTTCGAGACCAGCCTGGTCTACATAGTGAGTTCCAGGCCAGCTGGGGCTGCAGAGAGACGCTGTCTCAGAAAGACCAAAAATAAAATCTATTTTCCTTCAGATGTCGCTCACCTTGCTGTTTCATTTAGGGAGCATGAAACAAAGGAGTACGAGTATTCTCCTTTCCTTTGCAGTGCCTAAGACATTCTTGATACTGGTGTCTACCCCCAGTGAGCTTTTCTTGACTTGGTGGGAAGATCCTGTCTGTTGCATAAACATTTTCTGGAGAGATGAGAGTAGACATCTACTCACCCCAGATAGGGCACCAACAGCAGCCAACTGCTACTGTTTCAAATTACAACTCTTGTAGCCAGGCATGTAGCTAATTCCTCACACCTGTTATTACACCACTCAGGATGCAGAGGCAGGAGGATTGCCAGGAGTTTGAGGATAGATTGGGTTTACATACTAAGTGTCAGGCCAGCCTGGGCTATCAAGTGTGTCTCTGTCTGAAAGAAGAAATTGTAATCATACATTCCAGGAGACCCTAAGTCTGCAAAGTATGTCAAGGGCTAAAATCAGTATTAGTAAGCTGTGCTCCCTGGATAGCCTCTGGGGAGACTCATTCCTTCAACTTTTTTTTTTGTTTGTTTTTGTTTTTGTTTAATAGAAGAGTTTATTTGAACTTATTGTTCCAGGTTCCAGAGGGATTAGAGTCCATCGTGGTGATAAGGAGGTGGCCACAGGGGAAAGCAGAGCATTCACATCACCAAGTAGAGGCAGGATCCTGGAGCTCTCAGGCAGTCCCCTGAGTTCTCAGCCCCTATGCCAGGGGGCGGCTGGAACAGGCACTCTCCCTTCAAGACTTTTTGCCTCCAAAGACTCCCTGTGATCCTGGTCATGCCTCCTTCATTGTGTTATTGCCCTTCTTGTTTTCTTTGTGACATTTTATACTAACTTTTACCCTGACCCCTCATAATGACCAGTGTGATTGCTTTAGGTCTACTCAGATAATCTGGGGTAATTTCTCCAGGCCCATATCTTTAATTTAAACATATCTGCAAATTCCCTTTTGCATGGTAGGAACCAACATTAAGGTTCTAGGGATTAGGGCATGGGAATCTTTGGAGACCATTATTTGGCCTACCATGGCAACTATGGTCAAGTCAGTTCCATCAAGTGCAAAATGAGAATAACACTGTCTATGTTATAGAATTTTGAGACTTAGGAATGGAAGTGATATTCCTTTTTTATGAAGCAGAGTTGGGGCTTATTAAGGATATTTTAAAATAGATTTTAAGCAAGAAGGTTAAGAGAAGGGCAGTCCCAGATAGGCTTGGTGGCACACACCTTTGATCCCAGCACTGGGGAGGCAGACAGGTGGATCTCTGTGAGTGTGATTGCTAGTCCAGCCTGGTCTACATAACAAGTTCCAGGCCAGCCAAGGCTGCACAGTGAGACTGTCAAAAAGAGGGGGGGGGCGGGAGAGAGAGAGAGAGAGAGAGAGAGAGAGAGAGAGAGAGAGAGACCAAAAGGAAATAACAGACCCTAGGACTTCTTTAAAGAATCATTAGAAGTGATATTCCAAAAACACAGTGGTCAGTGGTTACTGCTGTTGCTTCCTTGTCCTGAGCATAAGGAAAGAAAAACTAGCTAGGCCACTTGCTGTATAGGTCCATTGTTAGTCTGGAGTTAAGTTGTTAATTTTGTATGTTGCAGAGAACTCTTACCTTTAAGAAGCCTCTCTGTGGGGTTGGAGAGAAGGCTTAGTGGTAAAGAGCACATACTGCTTTTGGAGGACCTAACTTTGATTCCAAGCACCCATGTCAGGTGGCTCACAACCCCCTGTAACTCCAGCTTCATGGGGACCCAACGCCTCCGGCTTCCTTGAGCACTTGTACATCCCCCCACACAGAACCACACATAACGCACATAATTAGATAGTAAAAACAGCCAGGCATGGTGGCTTATGTCTCTAATCCCAGCACTCGGGAGGCAGAGGCAGGCGGATTTCTGAGTTCAAGGCCATCCTGGTCTACATAGTGAGTTCCAGAACAGCTGGGGCTACAGGGAGACCCTGTCTCAAAAAGACTGAAAAAAAAATAGTAAAAATAAATCCTTAAAAAATGAAGCATCCAGCCGGGCGTGGTGGTGCACGCCTTTAATCCCAGCACTTGGAGGGCAGAGGCAGGCAGATCTCTGAGTTCAAGGCCAGCCTGGTCTACATAGTTCCAGGACAGCTGGGGCTACAGGGAGACCCTGTCTCAAAAAGACCAAAAAAAAAAAAAAAAAATGAAGCATCCTTGTAGTATGATTTGAGTGCTCCAAAATAACAGCCCCCTTGCCCCAAATACCCCCCCCCAGCACCTTGGGATGAGTTGAAAATACCTGTAAATCTGTCAAGGACTCACATTTGTTAGTTATTTCTCTTTCTCCTATAAGCTCTGGGTAGAATTTAATCATTCCCCCTTGGGTGCTTCAATTTAGCACTATGAGCTTGCCCATTTCCTTCATTGTTTTTACTCTTGACGTGTATGCCAGTTCACTAACACTCCCACATTGAGTGAGTACATTTTTATATTTAAGATCATAGCTCTTGGGCCTGGGGTGGTGTCACATGCTTTTAATCCCAACATTCGAGAGGCAGAGGCAGGCAGATCTCTGGGGATTGAGGCCAGCCTCATCTACATAGTGAGTTTCAGGCCAGCTGGGCCTATAGGGAGACACTGTCTCAAACAAACAACAACAAAAGATCATAGCTCTTGGCCAAAGGGTTTTTTTTTGTCTTTTTTTGTTTCTTTGGTCTTTTAGAGACAGGGTCTCCCTGTAACAGCTGACCTGGAACTTGCTTTGTAGACCAGGCTGGCCTTGCTCTCACAGCGATCTGCCTGCCTCTGTCTCCTGAGTGCTGGGACTAAAGGCATGGGCCACCACACCCAGTGCAAGGAGTTTGTTTTAAATAGTCAAAATTAATCAGCTGTCTCTGTTCAAATAAATAAGTTTGTTCTTGGAAAGTTGAACCACTGGTAGCAATTATTTCTGAACTGTAATAAATAAAAGACAGTACAGGTTTATAGAAAGAGCCTTATTGGGGGAGATAACATCCCAGCCACAAGCAACCATGATAAAGCACTGAAGTGTTTCAGTTCTCCGAACATTAGGAGAGTTTCAACATCATACCATAGACAGCATGCTAGGTTCCTGAAGGTCGAGAAAGCCTTCAATTCCAGAGGAGAAAGGGGAGTTTCTTGCTTTTAGAGGCTTTCGGGATGGGATAAAGGGTTTCATAAACACGTGACCTAGACTTGGTACTAAAAGTCAGGAAGGCGCTGATAAAGCCTAGCTAGAACTCAAGGCTGTCTTGGATCTAAGCAGTAGAGAAAGTTGGTAAGCCTTGTTTGCAGGTACAAACTGAACAGAAAACTCAGCTCTCTGAGAGCTTTAAGGTCACAGCATACCTGCTTACCAACTCTGGAGAGAGCTGCAAGGAAGTGTGGCCTGATTTCTGGGAGAAAGAAATGCAACTAGAGGATGTGTGATCTAACATCAACTGATCACACTTTAGCATCATATCTCTCTAGAGCTGGAGTTACAGGTTTGAGCCACCTGACATGGATGCTGGGAATCAAACTCGGGTCCTCTGCAAGAATATTACGTGTTCTTAAGCCCGGAGTCGTCTCTCTAGCCTCCTACTTTCTGAAATGGTTTGATGAATGGAGACCATCTTCTTTTTCCAACAGGGTTCTTATCCCATCCTGCTCCAAGAATGGAATTGGACAGATAGCAAAGAGTAGCAATGGGAGATATTTTGTCAATTTGATATTAATAACCTTTAAATTGGTATAACAAAATGGACCGCCACTCGGATTTAAACGAACCAAGCTGGAACTCTCAGTAGCTGTGGTCACCGTTAGCCATTGGCTGTTACGGCTCGGAGGAATGTTGCAGCTCAAAATTCTAGGAGGGGCAGGGATGCCAATCAAGAGTTGGCCCTTGCAGAGCAAGTCTGCTGCTCTGAGAAGCATTATAGCTCTCAGACTGTGGGAGAAGCTGTGAGTGGCCTCCACCTTTGGAGGCTGGAAACTGCCACAGAATCCTGGGTCAGAGGCTGAGGCACCAATGAGTTACCAGGCCTGCAGTCACTGGCGGAGTTCTGGGGACTAGCTTGAGTGAGCTTCCTGCCTGGAGCAGAAGCCTCAGGGTGGGAGGCCCAGTGCCCGGCCCTGAAGTCTTAGCATTTTTTCCCTCAAAAGAAGTCAAAGTGTGTTCTGAAGCCCCTAGACTTCCAAATTTATTGAGAATCAGCTGTGCTGAATCGCTACCACATCCAGCCAATCAGAGAAAAGCTGTCAAAAATAGAGGGGGTGGAGGTAGAGGATGGCTCTTCCCCCTGTCTCTTTGAGGAGTGCTATATGCTGGGAACCCAGCCCTTAACACACATGCCTTTGGAGAACATTTTTGATCCAAACTATAGCAATTGCTATGGGAAAAAATGAAGAGAAGGGTACAGGGAATACTGGGGAGGGGCTCACTGAAAACCTGGCATTTGAGAAAATACTTGAATTATGTGGGGGAGTTTGGTACCAACAGACATAAGAGAATGGTATTACAGGTGGAGGACACCATACGGAACACATTTATAAAACCCTACCTCTGTCATAGCCCCACACAAATGAATTTGTTACTGTATACTAAATATGGATCATTATATTTACAAAGTGTACCATTCACCACTCATCAAAGAAGCTTCTTTTTGCA